ACACACACACACACACACACACACACACACACACACACACGATTTATCAGCACTAAGGAGCTTAAAAATAAAATAAAAAGTAACAAAACCCTGGTGCCCAGACATTGGATCCATTAGTTCTGACACAGAGCCCAGGAACCTGATTTTTATAACAGCTACTTCTGTTCGTGTAAACAATAACATAAATGGAGCCACTTTAAAATGGAGCTGGACCTGCCATATCTGAGGAACTGCCTTGCAGGTCTTATACCTCAAATCTTTGGAATGTTAAACAGGGCAAAATAACCTTTGGGCTGGGCCTAAGAAACACTGTGCCTTGCAAAAGAACTGTTTGCAAAGATAACAAGAAAGCAATTGTTATGACTACTGAACTGCTGACTTGCTGGACTGAAAAATTAAAAACACTGTTTGGGATTAGCATCACTATGTTATCTGCACCCATAGAAATGGGCTCCTATTGATGTAATTGTTTTCCTTCCCTTTCTCATAAATACCCATTGCCTTTGTCTCCTAGTCAGAACATTATTTGGGCTTCTGCTTCAATTAATGATTCCTGAATAGCTATTCTTATTGATCTCAGTAAATGCTTATTGTGTCTCACTTTGAAAGGCCTTTTTATTTTTAGGTTAACAATAAGCCCAATGAGTAGAGCCCTCTGCTGGATAAAAATGGTACATCATGATTTCTGAAAAACAAACCCAATTACACACCTCTAAGTTTGAAAGAGTTGTTTGTGTGGCTAGTGTTTGACTATGGAGATAACCCTGCAGGGAATGTCCCTGAATCAGTGCTCTCTACCATTCATTTCCATCACTCTTCGGTCTCTGGAATTTCTTACCTAGAAAGAGTGCCCAGTAAACCACTTTGATCTTTGCCATAGTGATTTCCAAGCAGATTTCTGGAGCAGATTTAGGACCCACGGGAAATCTTCATTTGACACAAAATCACTCAGTTTGGGTTTAGACTATTTTAGTCTTGCCATGGGCTCCTGCCAAGCTGAAAACTTGTGTTTTTTTTCCTCCCTTAAATCAAATCCCATTCTATGACTTTAGCGGAATCCCTTCCTGCTGAAAAAGCCTATCAAACTTTACCTGAGTCAGTTGCGAGGGCTGAGCAGAGGCAAGAATCCAGGTGGGCAGTTTCCAAGGTGGGGCCCAGGAGCACCTGCGTCAACAGGGTGGCATCAGATGGGAAACACATTTTTTTTTCTTAACCACACTGAAACTGACCATTCTGATTTTTCTTCTCTGTATTTAACATCCTACCATAGAGGTTCTACTGCATTCACACACGTGATAAGCTACCCTTCAGTATGTCCTCTGAGTTTATGTTTAAGATCCCAAATCGTATTTCTCTCTTTTATGAAGTTTAGGGGAGGGGAGGAGGGTGTCCACTGATGCTGGTGATACTCTGTGACATGCAGACAGAGCGTTGAAGAAGGAATGTGGAGGAAAGCAAGAAGTTCCCCACCAAAACACATGCAGAACCCTGGCAAAATAAAACCCATATTAATCTGTTATGAGTGGAGAAGAAATCCCTGCGAAGGGCAGAGAGCCCCCATCGGGTGAGAGACTTCCAGGAGCCCACAGAGAGGGTGGATAAGTTTGTGTGGAACCCAGAGGACCCTGCTTGGAATAAAGTGATTGAAATAACAATGACAACAATTGCCAGTGCACTTATTGAACACAAGGTATGTGCTGAAGTATATATAATCCCCACAGTAAAATTAGCCAGATTCCGAAATAATTTGTTCTTGCTTGAAAAAGAAAAGACAGAGCTAAGATGTTTTGCATGTTACCATGGCTGCCTTTAAGCCATGGTCTGAGCTTGGAATAGTGCTCACTTTCACGTTAATGAGGAATAGGCCGTATTTAATAGGTCCTGAAGAGGAGGAAAGGCTCACTAGAGAAGTGTAGGGAAATAATTTGAGGATAGTCAGTAGTTCTTAAAACAGGTTTCAAGTCTTTAAAGGTCTTTCAGGTGGTCACAGATGGCCTCTGAGACTAACATTCATAACATGACTAGGTCCACTTTGGATTCTAGCACAATGTATAGGTAAGAATCTACCCATTGTTCCTGGCCTGTGTGGCTCAGTTGGTTGAGTATGGTGCCGTACACCAGAAGGTGGCAAGTTCAATTCTGGGTCAGGGCACATACCCAGGTTGCGGGTTCCATCTTAAGGACTTTTGCTTGGCCCAAAAATGTCTAGAAATAAAACAGGAACTGTGTCTTTAGGTTTATTTCATTTACCAGGGAGAAAAGATCGCATTTCATTTCCCTCTCATTTCTACACTTCTAATTCTCACAATCAGCAATGGAGAAAGAAGCTAGGCCCAAAGACCTTCTATATTCACTTAATTTTGGTGCTTCAGAATATGGACTCTGGATTCAAAGGCCTGACCTTCTGTGAGAGTCCATGACGTACTAGCCAGGTAGTTTTAGGCAAATTTATCTATCAGTTTCTCCATTGGTAAAACTGGGGCAATAACAGTACCTGCCTGATAGGTTTGTATGCAGATTAAATAAAAGAACCTAAGAAAACAGCTCTGCTAAGAAATTAGCCAGGAGTGAGCACTAGATGATGTAAACTGTTATTATTTTTATACCTAGTTTGCAGACTCTACCCTCGATGTTTCATTGCATTTAGCCCAGAGGATTACCCAGAGGACAAACCAGAGTCTGCAGAACAAGGAAACATTCACCGCCTGTCTGGGAGGTGGAGTCAGCATCTGGGCACTGAAAACATGCTCTCTCAGAGAATCTGGGAAGAATCCTGCAAGTGTAAGAGTGCGTCTAGGCTAGGCCAGGCCCACAGATAGAGTATCTTCACGATAACCTCATTTTGTGTAGATTGCAGGGAGCAGAATTTGCTCTATTTCCTAAAGGAAGGTAATATGCAGTTAATAATTAGTCCATGTAGATAAACAGCTATCCTGAATTTCCTTGGGCAGAATTCTTGCCCGGCACACCTCATCCTGATGTCACAGTAAAAGCTAAAGTCCTTACAAGGCTCTCACAATCTCTCCTCCTCTCCTCTTCCTCTCCATTTCTGCTGGCCCCAGGTCCTTTGCATGTCTTTCCTCTGCCTGGGAGAGAAATGGAGCCAGCTCCCTCCCTAGCCTTTCCCTGGTCCTGTTTAAAACTGGACACTCCCCCCACTCTTCTGGCCTATCCTTCTTCCTTGCTCTGAATTTCTCCTTGGCACCATCACCTTCTAACATCCTATATCACTTATTTGGTTCGTTGTTTGTCTTGCCTATCACCAATCCCCAATGCAAGCTCCCTAAGGGTGGGGATTTGTGTGTTTTGTCCATTGCTGTATCCCTGGTGCCTACAACAGGGTCTAACACCTATCTGTGTTCAGGATTTGTGGCATGACTATCAATGAATCCACAAGTTCAACAGGCTAGGCCTGGCCTCCAGGGGATGGCTTTCTGGGAGAGTACCCTCAGAGAGCTTAGTTCAGGAGAGGCATTTCAAAGAATTCTTTCAACACGAGATAATGTCCTCATTGACTTTGCGTGATGAGCCAGTGTCTCAACCACAGCACCATCAAATTGCCTGCACAATGGAATGTCAGAAGGGAGTGTAATGGAACCATTTGGGTATTTCTGAAAACTGAGCCAAAGGCTGTTGATTTTGTACTTTATAGAATAAAACTATGAGGCTGCTTAAAATTTCTAGTTCCCAGTTCCTGGTTTTTCAGGAAGGTTTATATGACACTGCTAATTTACCTATCGACACTATTTTGACAAAGCCTTAGTTTCTCCTGAAGATAATTATTTCAGTGATGAGCCCAAGGATTACCTGTTCCTCTATTTTTCTGCATTTTAAAAAATAAGCATATGTTACTTGAAAATGAGAAATAATTTGTTGGGGGGAGGGGGGTTTTCTACTAAGTCTGCATAACTCCTCTATAAGGCAGAGAAACATTCTTTTTTCAAATCCCATGTTCGAAGTCTCGTCAGTTGTTAAAATCCCTGGAGAGTCAATGGTTTGAAGAGCTGACAATCCCAGTGAAAGATGAGAGGGTGGGCTTGCATAACCTTGGCAAGATTATTAATACTAGATGACTTTCTCATCCAATGATTCTAAAGTATTTTCAAGAAGCCCTGACTAGAGAGTGAGACTTGACCTTATAATCCAGGCCACAAGGGCCTGTGGCCAATGGGACTTTTGGGCTTCTGAGAAGACTGTGAGGTGCAAAGAATGTTTTATTTGGCATCCAAGGAGACAGTGTGAAGTCACTTTCACTGGAAAAGAAATGATACAACCCTGGCTATTCATGAGTTATTTAGGATCAAAAGTTAAAATGAGATTAGGTTAAAGTATACATAATACATAGAAGTGTTTTACCTACTGTAGAAGGCTCTTCGAATATTTGGTGTTGATGTTTCTGATTAGCTGAGCCCTGAATTTATCTGGAGGAAAAATGAGTTTGACTTTAAACATTACAACTAGTTGCATGCCTTTGAACCAGTCATTCCATTTTTTGTTGTGTTTTGTTGTGTTTCCTAGTTAAATGGAGATCTTTTTGGCCTTACCTCACGTGATTATTTAGAAGCTCAAACGGAGGTGGAAATGTTTTGGAAAGCATGACAGGATCTGAGGTGTTATTCCATAGGCTTTGAGTTTGTCAAGACCTCCTGGAGTCTAAAATCCAGCGCATACCTCTTCCCAAGAGAATCGTTTTAGGTAAGAAAAGCCTACGCTTGCGATAAATACGCTCCCAAAGTTAATATTGAAATGAATTCTTTTTAATGCAACAATTTCCCCTTCCATATTATTTCAAAAAAATGTTCCTTAAGGGATAAGGTATTTTTTGTTTTCCTCGCCCTGCCCCCCACCCCCTTCTTTCTTTTTAAAGGAGGCAGCCAGAGGACAGCACACTGTTTTCAGTTTACCGGATCAGGAACCTCTACGCAGGCTGGAACCCTTCATGGCCTTCCCTGAAGATGGGACTTTATGCACCTGGGAAGTCTATACTGCCTGTGGAAATGTAGGGCTTTTCTGTGTCTACTGGGAGTATCAATGATATCCAAGACTGAATTAAAATCTAAGAAGGGCTGGAGAAGTAGCAGGATTAACAAGAAGGACTGAGGTGACCAGCGGTGACAGCTTTGCTGGTGGGGAGATGTTTTCAGTCTCTGGGGGGAAAAGGTTCTGGCCCAAAGCAGATCCCAGCCTCCTGTGGGTTTGCCAGGCCATCTGGCCCCCAGGCTGTGATTGGGACCAAGACCTGGAGAGGGGAACCCTGTCCTAACCCAAGGTAGGAAGATGCTAATTCTCATTCAACAGACTGCAAACTCTCCATGGGGCAGTGTCCCTGAGCCAACATGGTGCTTACCACCAACAGGAGCTCATAAATACTTGCTGAGTCAATAACCAGCGTGGTTAAACTAAACAGTGACAACAGAAGCATTTGCAAGCTGCCTGGTGCCCTTGCTCGTAATAAAACGGGTTTGAACGAGAGGAACATCCACAATTCTACCAATGGAGCCTCGAGCCAGAGAAACGCCCTTTTCTTGCTGTTATTGTGATAGCACTGTACCTGAAGCTACAGTAGCCTAGAGAATCACCTTTTTTCACAGCTTTTTAAATCTAATAGATAGGCTATAAAATCCTTTTGTTGATAGGTGCCACATTTCACAACACATACATTATAGTGCCTGTGATAGTACAATTATAATTCATAATTTTAAAATTTCGAAAATGTTGAAATCTTTAACACTATTATCCATGAAACTAGGAGTATTTATTCAATTAGATTGAAATCCTCAGGGAAATCCACTCCACAGCTTTTTAGGGGGAATATTTGATCGGCTCACAAGTGAAGATTTGGGGTATATGTGTGGTTTGGGGGGGTGGAGATTTTAAATTCTTTTATACTTTCCTACTCCTAGGTAGATATACAGTGTCATGACCTCCTCCTCTTGGCAATGACTGACTAGATAAAACCTTTCTTTAAGAGGGCCTTGTCAAAGTAGCCCCTGTCAAGGGCTGTGTCAAAGAGATATTGACAGTACAATCCATATACAAAATCAGTTTAATAGTCATTTCTGTAAGTAGATTTATATAAACAGAAAATAGTTCCAATTTTTCCTTGCCGAGCAATCAAGCAAAACTTTGGGTCCAACACAACAGCTGAGACCTTGAGGACAGACAAGGCTAGGCCCTCTCTGAGTAAGACATGAGTACCCTCTGTGGGGCATACTTGAAATTACAGCGCAGCAACCGAAGAACCCAATGGTTTTAAGCATTAAGGTACAATCTGCGAACGGGTGGGAAACACAGGCAGGCGTGAACGACCTTCACCATGTGGCCTGAGCTCCTGCTATTTTTCAAGTTTCCAGTAAAGGATTGAGAACGTTATTGAATGAGGTACTTTCAGCCAAGGTGTGAAATGAAACCCTAACGTCTGAAGAGTTTCAACATCAGCTTGTTAATTCAGGATAGGTCAGGAAGTACTAGACAAGAGGGAAATGGGCAAATGTGTCCCCAGTCTGGTGTGTCCCACTATCCCCTCACCCTGCTTTGAGTAGGACCCGATATAAATCCATCAGAATTTTTATTCACAAGATGTCAATGACTGATAGTTTCGTTTTTTCAGAGGCATTTACATTTTCATAAGTTGAAAGTATTAGTTTAAAAAAGAAAGAGGTAAGGAGCAGAATTTCCAGTAGATGTCAACTGTTGGAGGGGGTGTGGTAGAGAAAGGTAATCAGCTCCTTTATTGAATACTTAATTATTCCTCTTAAACAAACTAGGTCTGTTCCTTACCCATCCGCTCATTTTAATGCAAATGTCTTAAATGAGTATTTAATCCCTCAAAAGTCTGAGTAGTTAAAAACATCTGCATATTGCTAATGCAGTCCCTTACCTCAGTGCTTCTCAAATATCTCTGGTGAAAACACTTAAGAATTTTCCAGTCACTTGAGGGACCAACACTTGTGTAAATTAAACGAAAAATTTGATGGCAATATCTACAAGTTTCGTCTCTCTTGTTCTTACCTTGTTACAGACCGCTGACAGTGTGCAGGCTGGCACTGGTCTACATTTGGAGACCACTGCTCTAACTCCTGCTGTCTCCCTTGAAACAAGACCTGCATTTGGCCTAAAGATCTCCACCACCATGACCACCACAGTTACCTTCAAGAGCCTGACTTACATCTTCCTTCCAATGCTGAAAAGAAAATGGCCTTTGAATCCATACTAATGAACATCTCTAGCTCACTCAATTCCCCGTTTTAAACTGACCGTGTACTTGTAATGTGTCTGCACAACTCACCCATGCCCTTGCTCAGTTCAGCCCAATTCAGTTTGCTAACTTTATTTGTGGTGAATCTGGCCTAGACACCAGAAGCTTGTGTAAGACACTTGGGTAGCACAGAAGTTCACGTACTTGAGGATTAATAGAGGCGCCCATCTAGGAAAGCTACGTAGCGGACAAGACATACATTTTGTTGATATAAAGATTATAGGAAAGCTTCAGTTGAATTTTTTTCTTCCTCCCACTCCTCCTCCCTCTTCCAAAATAAGCAGGTTCAAAGAGTCTTTTGATTGATAAACAATCCTTCATCCACTGATTGAAAATCAATGAATCCTTTCTTATCCCAATATCCCAAACTGCAAATTCCACATGGCCATATATTAAGGAGTGTTCATACATTTCCACTTATAAGGCACAAAATCCACAAATCTCTCAGAGAAAGAAAGAAAGAACAAAGATTTGAAGACAACAAGATAATCTAGTGATAGAAGACGTTCGTCAAAGTGGAGTGAAAACAAACCACTTCCCTTATCGGTAAATAGGAACCTTACGCTGACAGGAAATGCAGCCTCGGAGAAGGCTCCCACGGCTCCTGGGTCCACGCAGCCCCTTTCACTGGATTAGTGCAGAGCTGGTCCTCAGAGAGGCTGCATGGCCAGAACACATCAATGGCAAGTACCACCGACCCCACAGAAGCTGCTGGGCAGTGATGTCTTAAACAGAACATTGTAGCTCCAGGGTGCCCGTTCACCATTCTTACCCAAAGCAGCCTTCAGGGACCAACCCGAAGTGAGCACACACCCCCACCTGTCCTGGAGTTTATTTTAAGAGTTCAGCTCTAAGTTGAGGCTAAGTGCCTGCCTGAGGACCCTGAACTGGGGTAGTTATGTGAGTCCTTTGTAGGGTGGCATAGATTTAAAAGGCTGGACCTTGGGTTCCTCTTGAAATAATTAGATCCCTAGAGGGACCCTTAGAACCAATTCACTCTACCCGGGGCTTTTTGAACACGCTGGTCAAAATCTGGAGAAGATTCCCTGGGGCAAGCCCCAGATCTTCTGGCCTATAAGGCAGCCCTAATAGGTCTCAAGTAATCCTCCAGTCCACAGGTACATGACAGAAGGGTCCCATGAGCCCAAACAGTATCCATGCTTGTTGTCTGGGCCCCCTGGTGGCTCTTGGCACTGTACTTTCTAGTACCGTTTGCATTAGTATTAAATGAGAATAAGCTTCCTGGATGTCCATCCACATGGATCCAAGCAGTTACTGAAAGTATGACTACTTCACAGTCCTGTATACTACCAAGGTATGGATGGGAGTGAACAGCACTTCAGAGAAAATAGCCAGAGAGATGCCATCCTGAGAAAAGGGTCAGGGTTAGAGTGGGTGAGAGAGGAGAGATCAGAAGTCAGATGAACTGAATAATTCATTGTCTGAGGGTTTCACTGAATCTTGAAGATTCTGAATTCTCCACCCTGGACGATCTGAAATCTGAAGGAAATTGGGTCCTCGGGTCAATTTATTCAATTACCAAAGACCAGCATAGTAGGATGGCCGTTCCAATATGGTGTGGACCAGCCACCTGCTTGTTTTCCAGTCTAAGTTTATCATCCCTTCAGCTCCAGGACTTGACCCTGGAGGCCACAGTCAGAATGCTACTGAATTTTCGGGTATGAACATGGTCCTTAATTCAGTGTCCCATGAATCTTAGCCAAGGTCCTTTCCTTTCTTGTGTCTTGAAAGGCTATGACCTAGACGGAAAAGGAACACTCCTTTTATTAACAACTATAACAACACAACTCTTGAATCCTTTGGTTTCCCAAGGCCATGGCCATAGCCTATCCTTGGAAATACGTATTAATGTAAAAGCCAACTCTTAAAAACAAAAAGCCAACTCCTGTTTTTGTATCTTACTTTGCCCCCATGGCAATGGGGTGCCTCCACAGCTCGCCCCACCTGCCAGGCTCAGGACTCTTTCTTTGTCAGCCTGGCCTTGACTTTGTGCCTCAGGAGGGCTGCAGTGGCCGTGCTGCAGACGGTCAAGAAGAAGAAGGACAGACAGGCCATGTAGACAGACAGGGGACTGTGGCGCTGCAGGAAGATCTCCTGCCGCCCCTGATAGTCCAGGAGGATGGCCTCCAGCTGGGAGAGTGTGCAGATGGACAGGAACACGTGGAAGAGCTGATGGCCGTGGCCCACGATGTCACAGGAGCCCGGGAAGTACTTCTCAGGGACCGGGCAGGAGAAGAAGTAGGCGCTGATCAGGAAGAAGAGGATCTGGAGGGTGTGGTACCAGGCGGCCTGCTCCTGGCAGCCAGCCAGGTGGCACAGGGCCACCCGGTGCGCCACGGGGCTGATGTCTAGAACGAAGGCCAGCCCCGAGGGTACCACCTGACATACCTTCTTCATGATTGGGTAAGGCCTCTGGTAGCGATACTTGGCGTAACAACAGCCTGCGCAAGACAGCCAGCCACAGAAGGCAGCTGCGGGCAAGAAAAAGAGCCAGAAGCGCTCGTACCAGGCCTGGTCCGAGGTGTAGAAGAAGTGAACCAGGGCACTGCCGTACTGGTACACGCTCACGCCGATGTAGTCCACGAAGTAGAAGGTGTAGTGGGACAGCTCCGACTGCGACTGCAGCAGGTGGGCCAGCACGCTGAACATGAGGTACGTGACGGAGGACAGCACGTACAGCAGCAGGGGCAGGGTGCTGACCGCGGCCCACGGCAAGGCCTCGGCCTCGGCGAACGCCCAGAATCGCAAGAGGACGGCCAGGGCCGCCAGCAAGTGGGTCCAGACGTTGACCACCTCGTTGTGTTTCTGGAAGAGGCTGAAGAAGTAGTAGCGCCACCTGTGTCCCGTGGGGCGGTAGCCGGTGCGGATGTAAGGCTCGCGGAAAAGCTGGGGCACATCCGTCTCGGGGACGGTGCAGGGCATCTTAGGGAGCCCATTCTCCAGGATCTTGGGCAGGCGGCGCAGCTGCTGCCCACTCACCGACAGGGTGCTCAGGTGCTCCAGGATGGCCGTGGTCATGGCTGCCCGGCGCGGCAGGGCAGGGGATGCAACCTGCAGACGACAGGGAGGTCAGCAAAATGCAGCAAGGCAGGGGCTGAGCTCAGGCAGCGAAGGAGCGACGGGGAGAGAGGGGCGCGCACAGCTTCCTTGAGCCTTTTTTCTTCCTCGGCAGAGCTGGGCTAAGTTCCCTTGCTACCCTGCCACTCTGATTTTATCTCTACTACCCACCACAGTGTTAGGCCAAGTCCCAGCGTAGAAGATGGGAATGTTGGCCCCCGGTTTTAATGATATTCAGAAAGTAAGTAACTTTAAAGGCTTTGGAGTGTTCCAGATGCTATTAAAAATGTAATAATCGGACAGGCTCTATGAAATGTTATACTGAAATATAAAAATTACAAATATTGGTATTACTAATGATAGCCTACATTTCTTGAGCACCTAATCTTAAATTATTCACCGATTTCACTGGTCACTTGAAAATCTGAGATCAGCAATAGTCACTTGAACCTCAAAGTAAAGATAAACACTGAAATCATCAATTAGGTTGGTAAAGGCCCATGTATATTCTGGGAAATAGTTTAATGGTTAAACAAAATTAATACATGGCGTCAATGTAACACAAACTCTAACTGCAAAGACTGGGGTTTTTTTGGGGGGGGGAGGGCTTGTTATGTTTTTTATTAATCCTCACCTAAGGATACTTTTTCCATTGCTTTTCAGAGACAGTGGGGGAGAGAGAGAGGAAACATCGATGTGAGAGACATATTGACTAGTTGCCTCCCACGCACACCCTGACCAGGGCTGGGGATCGAACCTGTAAACTCAGGTACATGCCCCTGGCCAGAAGTGAACCTGCCAGCGACCCTTCAGTCCTCAGGCTGACGCTCTAACCACTGGGCCAAACAGGCTAGGGCTGTTTAGTTTTCGTTTTGTTTTTAAGTTATGCTCTGGAAAGGAAGTAGTTTTGGATTTGTCTCTCCTGGGTACCTAAATCTGTGCTCAATGAATTTCAGGCTCCAAAATGCTGAGTTTACACTTGGAATTTTTGTTGACAGATGAGCCAGACAAACACGGCAATTATTTTATAAAATATTTCATAAAATAGCTGCGAAGTTTCCTGTGAAGTTGCTGAGTTAAGAAATGGAATTTTAGCATATCTACAGTTACCTTCTGTACTTCATCTTTCCTAAAATCTTTTCCTTGGAAAAGTGCAAAACCTGAATTATTTAAATGGCCTCCTTCCTTCAGAGCCCTTCGCTGGGAGAGATACAGTAAATGCTTCTCGGGGCACTACTAATTTTAGTGAAGAAAATTTAATCTTCCCACTAACACATCTAAATCAACACTGAAAGAGAAAAGATATCTAATCAGGTCTAAAAGGTAGGGCATGAAAATTAATAAAATGTGTAAAACGTTCAGAGAGACCTGGAGTCAAGTCCTGGCTTTTGGTCACTTACTAGGTAACCTTGGGCAAGCTACAGAACTCACTAAGCTTCAGTTTCCTCATCTGTAAAATGGGAGTAATAATTTTACGTATCATACGGGTGGTAGGGATGACTAATGAGGGAGTCTAAAATATAAAGTGCTTAACAGTAAATATTAAGTACTGCTGTTATTTTTATTACTATGAGCTGGGCTCTGTGCTAGGGATACAAAGACCAATAAGATACGCTGCCTGCTTTTCAAGGTCAGAGTCTACTGAGTCAGACAAGTAGGAAAGTCATGACCAAAATATGGGATGAGTGCTCCACGGAGACGAGCACTGGGTCACAGGGTCTTGCAAATACAAGCAAAAGAGAGGACAGAACAGGGAGGCATGGGGCAGCTTCTCCAAGTGACCTCTCAACTGAGCCTTGAAGGCAAATCAGAATTCCCAAGAGATGAAGAGGAAGAGAGCTCTAGCCAGAGAGCAAGGTCAAAGCACTTATGCCAAGATAAGCACTTATGCCTGTGCAGTTTGGAGCACCTGAAGAGGTCACACGTGTGTGGTCTGAAGTAGGACATCCGCACGAGACCTGAGCCCAGCCCTGAGTCTCACCCTCAGCAAGCCAGGAGCTCCAGCCGGGGCTCTGTTATCTGAGAAGCCGAGCTACCGACGAAGAGAAGCTGCCTCACAAGGCTGACGTAATGCCCGTAAAGTGTTTAACAGAGTGCTTGGTTCCAAGTCCGAAAAAACATCTGCCTTTATCGTGACCATCTCCAGCGGGAGAGGTGGGGGCTGTTCATGAGTGGACGATCTAATGCCCACTCTGTGACTTGTACCTACTTGTACGGCAGCCCCTCTAACCTAGGACTGGGTCATTTCTTTAGCCAGTACTGACCAATGGTTCCCTACCAGAAACAGGCCCTCAATATAACAATCAAAGAAACTTATTAAGGATTACAGTGTCAGTCAGAAATACAGAGGAAGAGTGGGAGAGAGAGAGAAAACTGTCATCAGAATACCTTAAGTCATTTAAAAACGAACAAAACAAGAAAAAGCCAAGCAGTGCTTTTGCCATCAGCCAGCAGAGGGATCCAAGAGCCTGGGAGTTAAATTCTAAATCTAGATGGAGACTCCAACTGACCTCGGTGACAGTTGGTGAAAGAATATGGCAGGGGTAAGGGAGGGGGACCAGAAGGTGGGAACAGGTGGGGTACACTGGTCCCAGGATCAGGTGGACCCTCTGTGGAGCTCCGCCTGGGACGTGGGATGGCATTTCAAACTGTCCTGTTGCTGGTGGCTGAGAAGCATGTCATCTGGGGGAGCTGGGCTTGTTGGAGCTCTGGGGAATTAAAGGGCTCTATTCTTTAGATGCAGGCTTCTACCATCTCTTGTGAAACACGGGGAAATCAGATGAAAATATCGGTCTGATTTTGTGGCCGGGTGAAGAGGGGATCTGAGCTGTAGAAGGACTCGCTGAAGATGCTCCCTGGAATGCCCACCTGCATCGATCAAGGAGGGTGTTTCCATCATCTCTGGGCACCCAAAGCAATTGGAGACAAACCTGCATCCAGAGTTAAATAATACATATGACTGCACAATTTCTGCTCATCTTTGCATCCTCGAAAACAGGATGCGTAGCACAGTAGCAGGTTCTTATAAATTGAATTTCTAAAGACCAAAACTTTGGGTAGATTGTCTATTGGGACCGAATCCAGTTCACACCTAGGAGCCAACTGGCATGTGTTTGTCCTAAGGAAGAAAGGACAGGTCTTGATGCTGTGTTTTGTGAATTTCCAGAAAACCCTGTCTGCAGAGCTCTGACCCTGAGTTCCTTCAGCCCTGGTGATAACCAACCTAACCTCATGAATTTTACNCAGAAAACCCTGTCTGCAGAGCTCTGACCCTGAGTTCCTTCAGCCCTGGTATCACCAACCTAACCTCATGAATTTTATGTCGACAAGTCCTTATCAGAGAATTATTTCCATTTCTCTCTTACTTATGAAGACTGAACTAGGAAGAGGTTTGTAGAACTAAGGAGCAGAGAAGTATAAGACCAAACGGATATTCACTTTAACTTCAAATGAAAAGGTACACAGGGGAATCAAAAAAGGCAGAATTTCCATTTCCCTTGCAAATGAGGCCTCCTTTTTCAAGGATCCTTAGAGTACAGCCACACCAGTCTCAGGGGCTCCTTATCTCCATCCTCTGGAGTGTGTAACCCAACACTCACTGGAAGTTCCAGAGACATGACCTCCGAGGCTCCCAATCAGGACATGATCTCTTATCTCCTCAGCAATGAGGGCGATAAAAAGATCTAGGTCCTCTCTCTGTGGGTAAAAAGGGCCTCAATTTCCCTTTGGAAGTCCAGGGTCATAAAAAATTCTAATCTAATGATCGGAAAGAGAGGGGATTAATTCTTAGTTCTTAGCTTAGCAACTACCTCTTCCACAGCCATAAAATTCTCCCTTTGTCTGAGAGCAGCCACCTCAGCCACAACTACAGTACTAAGTTATAATTCTTCGTCCTAGCTGGTTTGGCTCAGTGGTTAGGCGTCGGCCCACAGACTGAAGGGTCCTGGGTTCGATTCTGACCAAGTGCGTGTCCTCAGTTTCAGGCTTGATCCACGGCCCTGGTCGGAGCACATGCGGGAGGCAGCCCATCAATGTGTTTCTCTGCCTCTCTCCCTTCCACTCTCTCTGAAAAGCAATGGAAAAAATATCCTCGGGTGAGGGTTAAAAATTAAAAAAAGAAATAATATAAAAGGGGCAGTAGTTGGATAGAGCTCTGAGGAGGCAAAACATGTACATTAAAGTACTAACTACTAATAATACTTGAACTAAAGACCTCACAGAAGGATTATAAATTAGTAATATATGTGTGTGTATTTCTGCCCAATAATTGATTTTAGTGCATTATTTGAAAATAAAATAGGAATTCAATTTAATTCTCATACTACCCACCCCAACTACTTTATAAAGAGTTTTCATTAGACTCAGATTATAATGAAATTGGAATTAAAAGTTCTATTTTAATATGAACTCTTATTTAACTCTCTTAATAATATGAGTATGATATCTGTGCCATGGTTTCTGTTTTATAAGGAAGTGCTATGAAATGTTATAGAATGCTTTGGAATATTTAAGGTCCAATCGTAAAGTTTTATCTCAGGTGCACCTTAAAACTACTTAGAAAAATTTAAGACAATTAAGAAAAAACTGAAAGAGAAAAGCAGGGTAAGACCTATGTTTGTGGCAATAACTTGACATTTTTGCCCAAAATTGTGTATTTAAATTTTCTTTATGAAAGAAATCAAAACTAAAGTATGAGTCTTTAAAGTTTGGTTTTGTTTACATTGTTTTGAATGATGAAAACTACCCAGAATGTATTTCTTTTTCAATGATGTTAAATAAAACAATGAAATGACCTGTTGCTGGTGACTGCTGTGGTCCCCTGAAAACACAGTAAAAAATGTTAGGTGCCCATAAATAACCATTTATCCTTCAGCCAGGAGCTGTATGGACAAGCAGAGCTGCATGTCTCCAGTCTCCTAAGCAACAGATTTAACCTCGTACACTAGGTATGCCCACCACCCTCACTGCTCCTCGAAACCTCTCCCACTTGCTGG